AAATCAGAACGTCAACTTTTTATGTGCTATAGAGTCAAATTAAAGCTTAAGTTCACATAGGAAACAAGTAATCCCATTGAGCTTTGGCAAAATTATTCTTTGTCTGGGGATCATGGGGAGATATATATATATACATCGCAAGATGAACTTCAGAAAGAAATGGCCAGCCTAGACTTTGGTCAGAGAGATTTTTCCATTTCTCTGGGTGTCTTGCCTGAAGTAATAATAGTATTTGAACCAATTTTCTTAGACTACTTTCCAGAAATAACTCATTCCTTTTCCCTTTCTATCAAAAGATTCATTAACTTTCTTGGACCCATACCTGGTTTGAACTTTGGCTCCATAGCATAGTAGCTATATGACCTTTAACAAATTACTTAAACTTGCTTGGAGTCAGTTTCCTCACTGGAAAGACTATTTATTTCAAAGAAATATGGTGAAGTTTAAATGAGATTATGTGCTCCATGCCTGAGAAGGTCTGGGCATCAATAAATGTTTGTTGAATCTGAAGTCTAAAAATTAATATTTGTTAGGAGCTGCCAAACGAGTTATGAAGCATCCATTATTTCTGTAATAGTTCTGTCCTAACAAAGTTCATGGAAACTTTGGTTCGGTCTCTTAAGAAAATAAATTTAAGTTGCTATTTCTTTACTGCTCCCTTGTTTTGCATTTTGGGGGACAGAGTCCTCACAATATTTTATAATTTTATCATCCCCAGTAGAAATCCATTTCTACACCTCCAACTCAATCTTTATTTGGCTCCTGAGTTTATGTTTCTTAAGAGCTGTATCTGTTTCCTAAACACAGGAAAACTTGGTGTAATTTTATAGTCACTACGTGAACAATTACTTGCTAACATTGTTATTTGGAAAGCTTCATCTGCTCAAGCTGGATGTTTAGGCAGCCCCAGATAGTAGTGAGTAGGTGATGACTCTCTGGTCTCCCCCCAACCAACCTTGACCTCCCCTGTACAGAACACACACACACACACACACACATACACACACACACACACTCTCTCTCTCTCACTTAGAAATTCTTAAGGACAACCCAAATAAGTTGGGAAGAATAAACTATACATTAAGAAATATACATGATATCGACTTTCCTATGCTAATGGCCAGGATAAACAGTCACACCTCTTTTTCCTCCCCTAAATATCAAATATGATGCATATTGATTCTGTCCTTTCTTTCCCTGGACTGGTCTAAATGTTCACTGTATGTGTTCAGGACTCTTTGGGGAACGCATAGAAAGAAGAGAGGAAAGTGGTGAAGGCGGTGCTTTCCAGTTCTCGACCTACGACTTTCAGCCATACTCATGGAGAATTAAAGTCTCTAAGGGGTTTGGACAAGTAGGGACACTCAGGTTGAGCATGTGTGAGACGGGGGTCCATTTGACTGAGTCTCAGGCTGCAGCGTAGATGACATCACAGAACATACAGTGAGGTCACTACTAGGTCAGGTGAAGGAAGAATTTGAGCAGAAGATAGCATTTCATTCTGAGGGTGTACGGTTTTCTTTATAGTGCATTAAAGAATTTGACTCTCTAGAGACATCTGCCTAAGCCATGGTCATCACTGCAGCTTTCTGCTCTGTTCCTTTTTGATAGGCTTCAAGGAGGATTGTCTCTTTGGGCTCAAACATGGTAGCAGTCACTCCCAGGTCTTGATCACTCCCTGCTGTTTTCCATGATGACTTCATGCCACTTCCCTACACAGTCTTAGGTGCAATGTTCACGGCTCTGCAGTGTGGGGGAACCACTGTTTTTGTAGTAGGAATGGCTCTGAAATTGCTTCTAAAAAAAGCCACTCCTGCTATGTCTCTTATATGCAAGTGGGACCTTGCTGTGAATGGTCTTCTTCTCAATTTGTGAAATAGTCTAGACAACTTGATGATGGGGCTAAGGCTGGTGAGTTTGTGAAGGGAGGACTCTGCTGCTTCCTGGGGTACTAAACATTTTTTCCTTTTCATCATCTTTAGAAGTTCCAGGGATGGCTGGAAACTGGTAGATAAATTATTTTGGGGATGACTTGTCCCCTTTCCCTAGATTCCCCCACTTCTCTCTTGGTGACTTTTACTCATCCCATATTGATGGAAACTCCTCCTACCGAAGAAGTGTGTTCTTGGAGAGGATACTGAAAATGCCATATGATACATGAGAGGCATATTGGACTCCTTACCTCAGTGTAACCAGAGAAAGTGGCTCCAGATACCACAAGACACTAGGAAGTCTCTTGAGATTGACATTATCCTAACACCTGAGGTCTCTCTGGAATTCACCCTTGCGTTACCCTTTAGAAAATCACTTGGGATCTCCAGTGTAGCAAGTTCTCCCATGATGGCTTATTCAGCCCTAAGCCTTTTCATATTCAATATGTTTTCCAGATGAACATCAGAAAGCACCAGCCCTTAGCTTCTCTGCAACACCCTTGCCTCATATTCTTGACCCTCTGTAGAGGCTTACTGCTGAGCTCTTCCTGTTCCCTGCCACAAACACAGGCAGGACCATTGTATTATCAATTGAGCTGGGCGCAGGTGTACTATAACCTTCCAATGGTCATCTCAGAAGACAAATGAGCTTGTTTTTGAAAGTCAAAGAGATCTGTAAATCTGAAGAGGGCCACAAATGCAGGTAAAGAGTCTTTTTTTTTTTTTTGAGACGGAGTTTTGCTCTTGTTACCCAGGCTGGAGTGCAATGGCGCGATCTCGGCTCACCACAACCTCCGCCTCCTGGGTTCAAGCAATTCTCCTGCCTCAGCCTCCTGAGTAGCTCGGACTGCAGGCGTGCACCACCATGCCCAGCTAATTTTTGTATTTTTAGTAGAGATGGGGTTTCACCTTGTTGACCAGGATGGTCTCGATCTCTTGACCTCGTGATCCACCTGCCTCGGCCTCCCAAAGTGCTGGGATTATAGGTGTGAGCCACTGCGCCCGGCCAGGTAAAGAGTCTTTCACAAGCATCAAAATAAGTTTTGCTTCTCGTGGTTATGAGACAGGGATCTTAATAAACTTCAAGGGATGTAGTCTAGTTAGCTTTGATGGAACCATGAACCTGCAGCCTCTTGCAGCCCTGATGATATCTAATATGGTCTTCCTGTGGCTCGTTGAGAAAGGGGCATGATGTTAGATAGTGAGAGAACTGGGGTAGTGGGTATAATGCCCACTGTCGGCACTTAGTGACACTTCTGCTCATCAATTATCTATCTTTGATTAATCTGGCTAAAGTAGCCCTTAACCACTGGTGTGTATACTTGAATTCTTCCTTTATACAACTGTCACTGAAATTTCATAATGGAGTTACTAAATGCGGTCACTACATAGCCACTTGGAACCATGTAATAGATTATCATAAATCTCTCTTTGTCTTTTAAGACAGCTCAAACTCATTAGCATATCTAGGAGGGAGTCCATAAACCAGTCAGAATAAGAGGGAGAAACTGAAACTACATGTTTCTCTCCAAGACCTATGACATGATGCTTTTGACACCCATGATTTCCACTCCCCAATGTTCATAGCTTGTATAACTCCTCTTGATGAATTTGAGCAAAGCCTGTGACTTACTAATAGAATTCTGTTGCTAAAAGAATATGAAAAAAAAAATCCAAGAACGTTGCAGATATCATTAAAGTTCCAAATGAATTGATTTTGAGGTAATCAATAGGGATTTATTCTGGTAGGCCTGACTTAATTAGGTAGAAATTTAAAAAAAAAAAAAAGGGGGGACAGGAGAAACTCAGCCCTCTCTAGGCTAACAGCTCTTATTGCTGACTTGAAATAAGTGGCCCTGTTAGGGATGCCTACTTGGTAAGGAATTTCAAGTATGCCTCTAGGACCCGACAGTGACCTACAGCACCTGAGGGTCACCTTCAGCTAACAGCCAGCAAATGCTGGCTGTCAAGCAGCTGCATTGAACTGAATTCTGACTATACCTGACTGAGCTTGGAAGTGGATTCTGCTCCTAGTTGAGCTTCCAGATGAGAACACAGCCCAGCCAACTTCTTAACTGTAGCCCTATGACTCTGAATAGAGAACCCAGCTAAGGTGTACTCAATCCCATGACTCACAAAAACTCTGGGATAATAAATGTGCAGTGTTATAAGCCACTAAGCTTGTGATAATTTACTATGTAGCAATAGTGAATGAATACAGTGCTGACCCATGTATTTCTTATTGCCCTTTATAACCTGTCATCATCATTTACACTGGAATTCAGTGTACACCCGAGGCTTCTTTGAATATATATATATATACACACACACACATGCACATATATATACCTATGTATATACCATACATATATAAATAT